TTTTTTTTGACAAAGGGTTTCACTCTGTCACCCAGGCTGGAGTGCAGTGGTGTGATCACAGCTCACTGCAGCTTTGACCTCTGAGGCTCAATCGATCTTCCAGCCTCAGCCTCCCAAATAACTAGGACTATAGGCATGCACCACTGCACCTGGTTAATTTTGTTTGTTTGTTTGTTTGTTTTGTTTTGTTTTGTTGAGATGAGGTCTTGCCATTTTGCCCAGGCTGCTCTTGAACTCCTGAACTCAAGTGATCCACCCACCTCAGCCTCCACATGAGTCACTGTACTGGGCCTGCTCCCAGGCTTTTGATATATCATCTGAAATCAGGTGGAAGCTGCCATGCTCACCGCTCTTGAATTCCACATGCATGCACAATAGTACCATGTGGACATGGATGCCACCAAGACCCACAGCTGGCACTCTGCAGAGCAGTGGTCCAAGCTGTACCTGGGGCTATTGGGCCATGGCTGCCCTGGCCAGAGCAGCTAGGAGAAGCATCTTGAGGTGGCTCAGGGCAGTGGTATCCCACCATTCTGTCCTCCTAGGCCTCCGGGTCTGTGATAGGAGGAATGGCCTTAGACCTTTGAAATACTTTCAGGGCCTTTTTTCCATTGTTCTGTTAGTGCCTGGTTCCCTTCTATCAGAATTAATTTCTTTAGCAAAAGGTCTCTTGGCTGAACCCTTAGATTCCTCTTCTGAAAATGTTCTTTCATTCTCTACCACATGGCCAGGCTGCAAATTTTCTAAATTTTAATGCTCTGCTTCTTACACATTTCACCTTTAGGTCGCTCCTTTGCTGTGTGTAAGCTGTCAAAGTAACCACATTGTGTCTTGAGCATTTTGCTGCTTAGAAATTTCTTCTGCCTAGGCCAGGCACAGTGGCTCATGCCTGTAATCCCAGCACTTTGGGAGGCCAAGATGGGCAGATCACCTGAGGTCAAGAGTTCAAGACTAGCCTGGCCAACATGGTGAAACTCCATCTTTAAAAAGGAAAAAAAAAAAAAAAAGAAAAGAAATTTCTTCTGCCAGATGCCCTGGGTTATCACTTGTAAGTTTGGTCTTCCATAAAGCCCTAAGGCATGGACGTGATGCAGCCAAGTTCTTTGCTATGGCGTAACATGGGTGACCTTTGTTCTACTTTCCAAATACACACTACTTTCCTTCATCAGAATGGCCTTTACAGTGCATGTTTCTATCAGCATTTTGGTCACAACCATCTAACCAATCTCTGAGAAGTTCCAAACGTTCCCTCATCTTTTTGTCTTTTTCTGAGCCCTCATCAAAATTACTCTTAATGCCCTGTTCACAGCAATTTAGGTGTTTTCTAGCCTATTTCTTCAAACTCTTCCCACTTCTGCCCATTACCCAGTTCCAAAGCTGCTTCTACATTTTTATGTATCTTTACGGATTACTCCACTCCTTGGTACAAATTGTCTGTCTTAGATCATTTTGTGTTGTTATAACAGAATACCTGAGACTGGGAGACTGGGTCATTTATAAAGAAAAGGTTTATTTACCTCACTGTTCTGTAGGCTGGGACATTCAAGGGCATGCCTGCAGCCTGCAGGGGGTTGTAGCTTTCATGCTACATTATAACATGACTGAGAAGGTCAAAGGGCAAGTGGACACATGCAAAGAGGCAAAACCCAAAGGATCTCTTGGCTTTAAAACAATCCACTATCATGGGAACTCATCTATTTCTGCAGGAACTAATCTCGTTTTGCGAGAGTGAGAACCTGCTTCCATGAGATCAGCTCGTGGGGGATCCTCCCCCCAATGATCCAAATACCTCCCACTAAGCCTCACCTCCCAACACGACCCCCCTGGGGATCAAATTTCAACATAAGTTTAAGTGGGGACAAACTCAGATCATGTCCAAACCATAGCACTTGTCCTCAAGGCCCTAGCCTGCTTAGACAGTCTCTGAAATGTCTTCAGGGTTTTTCTCCCATTGTCTTGATGTATAGGCCTGGTTGCCTTCTGTCTGTACTAATTTTTTTAGCAAATGATTGCTTGGTGTTTTTCTCCTACGGACACCTTTTCAGTCTACATGGCTAGCCTTCAGATTTCCCAAATCTTTCTGCTCTGCTTTCTTTTTCGTTACAAATTCTATCTTTTAGTCATTTCTCTCCTGTCACGTTTTACTACATGTGCTTTAAAGTTGCAATACAGCTCCTTCAATATTTTGCTTAGAAATTTCTTTTACCAGATATCCTACTTCAACACTCTTAAGTTCTGTCTTCCACAAATTCCTAAGACACTGACGCAATCCTGCCAAGTTCTTTGCGGTAGATAACAAGAATGGCTTTTACTCCAGTTTCCAATACCTTGTTCCTCATTTCCATCTGACACCTCATCAGAATGGTCTTTGCTGTCTGTAACTGTCTATATTTCTACCAATATTCTGATTAGGACCACTTCTGTAATCCCTGAGAAGCTTTAGGCTCTTCTTAAAGTTCTTTCTTCATCTGAGCCCTTGCCAGAATTGCCCTTAATACTCCATTCATGGCAGACTTTTCTCTCCTGATCCTCCAAATTCTTCCACCTTCTACCCCTTTCCGGTTCAAAAACCACTTCCACATTTTCAGGTATGTGTTATGGCATCAGACGACTTCATGGTATCAATTTTCTGTCTTAGTCAGTTTTATGCTATTATCATAGAATATCACAGACTGGGTAATACGCGTTGAACAGAAATTAATTTGGCTTATGGTTCTGGAGGCTGGGAACCCCACGATTGAGGGGCCGCATCTGGTGAGGGCCCTCTTGCTGCATCATAATACAGCAGGAGCCATCACATGGGTGTCAGAGAGAATGAGAGAGGACAAACTGACTTTTGTAACAAACCCAGTCTCATGATAATGAGTTCACTCCTGCAATAATCACATTATCACCTTTCTTTTTCTTTCTTTCTTTTTTTTTTTAAGAGACAAGGTCTCACTCTGTCACCAGCTTGGAGTACAGTAGCATGATCACAGCTCACCTCAGCCCCAACCTCCTGGGCTCAAGTGATCCCCTTGCTTAGGCTCCAGAGTAGCTGGAACTATAGGCAAACACCACCACACCTGGCTAATTTTTTACTTTTGATAGAGATGGGGTCTTGCTATGTTGTCCAGGCTGGTCTTGAACTTCTGGGCTCAAGCGATCCTCCCACCTGCGCCTCCCAAAGTGCTGGGTTTACAAGCATGAGCCACCATACCCAGCCACATTATCACCTCTTAAAGACCCTAGCTTTCAACACTGTTACACTGGGGATTAAGTCTTTAACACATGGATTCTGGGGGACACATTCAAACTGTAGTTATATGTAGGATTATACTTTATTTAGCCCAATGTACCCAAAATATCATTTCAACAAGTTGTCAATATAATAAAGTTAGTAATGTGCTATTTTACATTCATTACTAAGTCTTTGGAAACTGATGTATATTTTATACTTATAGATGGCCACGTTTCCCAGTAAGCAATGGCCCCTAAGTTAACTAGTTGGATAAACATAACCAGCTGGATAGTCCAGGTCTAGAACAATGATAGTATTTCAGCAGTGGAAATCAGATCCTAGCAGATAAAGAAGAGCTCTAGAAAGTGACTCCAGCCTTGAGGAGGTTGTGTTTGCTGGACTGGCTGATCATATGGTATCACCCAGAGAGGCTGAGAATTTCTGAAGCTGACTTGGGAGTCACAGTCATAAAGTCTGTGGTCAGCCTAGTCTTGTTCCAAAGTCATGGCCACTTGGGTATGTTGCAGTCCAGTGTTGTCATTTTGGATCTCATAATGTCAGAGGTCTTTCAAGGTCTGAGGGAAGTTTGCAGAGGTGAAGGGAAACCCTTTTGTTCATTTCTATTGATTGTTATAGCTATTGACAGCACCAGAGTGCTTGCTCACATGACTGTCTACTTTTTGTTTGTTTTTGTTTTTTTCACATGAAAGTTTTTAGTTTATTAATCTTCTCATGAAAAATCCACAATGGCCACAGATAACACCATTGCAGCACCTTTACTCCTTCAGCTTTTTGCCAGCACCAACATTGGCCTTTGCAGTCCCCCTGACTTTCCTCATTCTGTTCTTGCATTCCTCTCGCTGCTTTCTTGAGGTCTTTTTCTTCTCATACAGGCCATGTCTTGCAAGTCTATGTTTGGGTTCATTTTTCTTTGCATAATCTGGGGAATCATAAATCATGCCAAAGCCAGTTGTCTTGCCACCATCAAAATGAGTTTTGAATCCAAATACAAACATGACATCCGGTGTGGTCTTGTACATTTTGGCTAGTTTTTCCCGAATTTCTGTCTTAGGCAACTGTTGCCTTCCGGGGATGAAAGATATCAATGACCATTTGTTTCCTCTGAAGTTGTCAGCTGGTCATGAACTTTCTAGTGCCAATAGTTATGTACCGTTCATGATGGTGGTCTATCCTCAGACAGCCAGGGAGGAAAAGCATGACTGTCTACTTTCTAGCCTCCTATTGTGCATTGGAGGAGAGTAGACAAGGGCTGGGAGCAGAGAACAAGGCTAGCAGTAACTGAAGGTAGACGGAGTAGGTCTGGGACCACCCTCTGAAATGGTTATGGGGGCCATCCAGGCCATATAAATGCTGAAGCAGGGCTAGTAAAAGTGACATTGGAGTGTGGTGGGGTCCCAGTGGATCCTACCTAAAGGCAGCAGTTGCTTCAGCTCCCACCAGTCATTGATATATACAAAGCATGACTCGGTGGTGTCAGATCTTCATTTTTTTTTTCTTTGAAGAGAAATCAGAAATCCAGATTTTTATGTGAAACCTGTATTTTGTAATCATGATAAACTATAAATAATATTTACCATTTTAACCATTCATAAGTGTACAGTTCAGTGACATTAAATGCATTTGCAATGTTGTGTAACCATTACCACTATTTATACCCAAAACTTTTTCGTCATCGTCAATAAAACCTCTGTACTCATTAAGCAATAACTCCTCCTTTGCCTCCCCCACCCCCCACATTCCCTGGTTACCTCTATTCTACTTTCTGCTCCTATACATTTGCCTATTCTAGGATCCTCGTAAAAGTGGAATCATACTTGTCCTTCTGTCGCTGGCTTATGAAATCTGTTTTTTAAGTACTGGTAACTAATGCATTTCATTTTTTAAAAATGTATTTTATGTCTTAAAACTGCATCAGATTAAATTGCCAGTTTGAAGGTCAGGCATGGTGGCATATGTCTGTAATCCCAGCACTTTGGGAGGCTGAGGCAGGAGGACTGCTTGAGCCCAGGAGTTTGAGATCAACCTGGGCAACATAGTGAGACCCCGTCTCCACAAAAAATATGAAATTAGCTGGGCTTGGTGGAGCTCACCTGCAGTCCTAGCTACTCAGGAGGCTGAGGTGGGAGGATTGCTTGAGCTCAGGAGATTGAGGCTGCAGTGGGCTGCGATTATGCCACTGCACTCCAATCTGAACTACAGTGCAAGACCCATCTCAAAAAAAAAAAAAAAGAAAAGAAGAAGTAGCCAGTTTGAGACTTCTGGGAAAGGTTGCATGGAACTGAATTTCAGTTCTGCTTTCTCCTTCCTCGAAAAACTCTCACCAAACATGTGGGCAGGTGGAAACAATGTCAGAGGCTAGTGTCTCAGCTTGGGGGATTAGCCCAGAACTTCCAAAAGTGGTTGGTGATTTGCCTCATCCATGGGGCTAAATGAAAATACAGAGGTCTGGGGCCCCACACAGACTTTCTTAACCAAACTATCTAGGAGAGGGGCCCAGCATCGGTATTCCTTTTTTTTTTTTTTTTTTTTTTGAGATAGAGTCTCACTCTGCCGCCAAGGCTGGAGTGCAGTGAGGCAATCTCGGCTCACTGCAACCTCCACTTCCCAAGTTCAAGTGATTCTCATGCCTCAACTTCCTGAGTCACTGGGATTACAGGTGCCCACCACCACATCTGGCTAATTTTTGTAGTTTTAGTAGAGATAGGGTTTCACTGTGTTGGCCAGGCTGGTCTCGAACTCATGACCTCAGGTGATCTGCCCGTCTCAGCATCCCAAAGTGCTGGGATTGCACGCGTGAGCCACCACACCCAGCCAGCATTATATATCTTCAACTGGCCTCCCAAATGAGGCTCATGATCAGACACTTTTTGAAACCACCAGGAGGAAAGAGCAGCATGCATGGGAAGAGACTGCCTGCTTGGAGCCATATTCTTCTCAGGGCTGATTTTTTTTTCTTTTTCTTTTTTTGTAGAGATGAGGTCTTGCTTTGTTGCCTAGGCTGGTCTCGAACTCCTGGCCTCAAGTGATTCTCCCACCTTGGCTTCCCACAGTGCTGGGATTACAGGTGTAAGCCACTGCACCCAGCTGGTCAGGATTGATTTATGATATGTTTGCTGTATGTTGGGTTCAGTGGGAAGTAGTGGGAGCTTGGGCCACTCACCCTTCAAATTGAGGGCAGAGGCTGGGCTGGGGCTCATGATTTTGACTCACCTAAGGTACTGAAAAAGTTCCTGAAGACCTTAGGGTTGGGGAGTTGAGGAGCCCTAATGGGATATGAGCTGAAACCATGCATGTGCTCCACATCCTTTGGGTTCTTTGACATTCAATCCAGTGCACTGGAAGAAGCTCAGATTGGCCTGGCCTGGCTTCTGCCTTGGCTTTTTATTTATTTTTTTCTCTATAACCTAATCTTGAAAATGATTTTTCTTTAGAAAAGTGATTTTTCTTTAGAGACAGAGTCTTGCTCTGTTGCTCAGGCTGGAATGCAGTGGCACAATCTCAGCTCACTGCAGCTTCGAACTCCTGGGCTTAAGTGATCCTTGCCTCAGCATACAGAGTAGCTGGAACTACAGGTGTGTGCCACCATGCCTGGCTAGTTATTTTATTTTTTGTAGAATCTGGGTCTCACTATTTTGCACAGGCTAGTCTTGAACTCCTGGCCTCTAGCAATCCTCCTGCCTCTGCCTCTGCCTCTGCCTCCCACAGGGCTGGGATTATAGGCATGAGTTATCACTCGGGGCATGCCTTGGCTTTGTTGCCTTGCCAGGCATTGTTACAGTTGCTTGTTAATTTCACGGACTTAAGTCTAAGTCTTCGGTTTCCAGTTTCCAGACCTCCGCTCCCTGCCTTTTCCTATTTAACCTGTCTCTTGTTACCTCCCAGCCTTGGCTCTGCTCTGACCACTCTGGCTCCATACTGTCTCCTTGGGATATACTCTTTGGGTCTAAGACTTAGGCAGTGGAGAGGAATGTCAGCAAGATGGTGGACTAGAAAGCTCCAGGCCCTCATTTTCCCACAGAAATGTTAACTAGGAAGTGGCTAAAATAACTTCTTTTGAGAAGCTATGGAAGTCAAAGATCTACAGCAACCAAGCCCACCCAACCAAGAAAAAGACACATTCAAAGCCATAGGAAATTTCATGACTTTTAAACTCACCTTTGCCCCATTTCCTCCCCCATGCTGTGCATCCAGTCCCCAGTTCTCCTCTGCAAAATGAATACATGGAATTTGCAACATTTTAACCTGCTTTAACTCAACTTCATTTTTATACACTGACAATGTACAACACCCCTCCCAAAAAATTAAGAAACAATTCAATTTACAATAGCATTAAAAAATAAAATACTTAGGAATAAACCAAGGATATAAAAGTCAAGTGTATTGGAAACTACAAAATGTTGCTGAAAGAAATTAAATAAGATATAAATAAATGGAAAGACTGCCTGTGTTTATGGATTGGAAGACTTCATGTTAAGATGTCAAAGCTAACCTAAAGCGATATATAGATTTAATGTAATCCCTGTCAAAATCCCAGTAATGGTTTTCATAGAAATAGAAAAATCCTTACCCTAAAATTCATATGGAATTTCAGGGAACCCTGAATAGCCACAACAAACTCAAAAAAGAAGAACAGCATCGGAGATCTCACACTTTCTGATTTCAGAACTTACTACAAAGCTACAGTAATGAAGACAATGTTGTATTTGGCATAAAGACAGGTATATAGACCAATGAAATAGAGTCCAGATATCAACCCTTGGGTATATGGTCAAATGATTTTCAACAAGGGTGTCAAGACCATTCAATGAGGAGAAGACAGCCTTTTCAATAAGGGGTGCTGGGAAAACTGGATAACCATATGAAATTAGACCCTTGCGTTGTCAGAGACATTTGAACAAGAGCGACTCCATCTTGAATAGGGGCTGGGTAAAATGAGGCTGACACCTGCTGGGCTGCATTCCCAGGAGGTTAGGCATTCTAAGTTACAGGATGAGATAGGAGGTTGGCACAAGGTACGGGTCACAAAGACCTTGCTGATAAAAGGATGCAGTAAGGAGGCCAGCCAAAACCACGAAAGCGAAAACGGTGATGAAACTGACCTCTGGTCATCCTCACTGCTCATTATACGCTAATTATAATGCATTAGCCTGTTAAAAGACACTCCCACCAGCACCATGACAGTTTACAAATGCCGTAGCAAATCAGGAAGTTACCCTATGTGGCCTAAAAATGAAAGAAACCCTTAGTTCCTGGACTTGCCCGCCCCTTTCCCAGAAAATTCATGAATAATCCACATCTTGTTTAGCATATAATCAAGAAGTAACAATAAATATAAGCAGCTGAGCAGTCCATGCCACTGCTCTGCCTATGGAGTAGCCATTCTTTATTCCTTTACTTTCTTAATAAACTTGCTTTCACTTTATGGACTTCCCCCAAATTCTTTCTTGTGTAAGATCCAAGAAACCTCTATTGAGATCTGTATTGGAACCCCTTTCCAGTAATATCATTATACTATATACAAAAATTAACTCAAAAGTGGATCAAAGACTTAAACATAAAAGCTAAAACCATAGGACTCTTAGATGGAAACAGGGGAAATGCTTTACAATGTTAGTTCTGGCAAAGATTACTTGGATCTGATACCAAAAGCAGAGGTACTAAAAGAAAGGAAAACATTAAACTACATCAATGTCAAATGTTGATGCATCAAAAGATGCTATTAACAGACTAAAAAAGTCACCCATATTTGGGAGAAAATATTTGCAAATCATATATCTGATAAGGAATTAATTTCTAGAATGTATAAAGAACTCTTACAACTCAATCGCAAAAAAAAACAAACAATCCAATTTAAAAATGAGCTAACAAATGTACAAATGGTCATAGCACCTAAAAAGATGCTCGACATTAGGGAAATACAAATCAAAACCACTGTCAGATACCACTTCACACCTATTTAGGATGGCTTTTATTTAAAAACAAAAGTGTTGGTAAGGATGTGAAGACATTGGAACTCTTTTGCACTGCTGGTGGGAATGTAAAATGGTGCAGCTGCTATGAAAACAACATGGAAGCACCTCAAAAAAATTAAAAATAAAGTTACCGTGTGATCCAGCAATTCCACTTCTAGGTAAAAAAATTGAAAGCAGGAACTTGAACAGATATTTGTATACTCATGTTTATAGCAGCATTATTCA